AGCCAGACCCAATGGAGCATCCTGCAGAGACTCAGAGGGAGTCTGCCTAAGCAAGACCAAAGCAATTTTCCTGCCTTCTCCATATGTTTCTGAGGTCCCACTCCAGCAATGCAATATATCCACCAATAATCCTGACTGATTTTCCACAGTGCAGATGAACTGTGCTGACTCTTCTAAGCACTTATGGGGGAAAAAAGAAGCCTGATCTCACTAGAAATTAAGAAAAGTGATTTTAAGGTGATCAAAATATATTGCCCAGATGTTTGTACACGTTACTTTCAGAGGGCTTCTACATTAACTTTATCCACAGGAGTCGAAATTATAACACTGTAAATTTTTTTGTTGTTGTTTTTATAAAGCACTGCCTGCTTTGTTTTGGGTTTGTTTTTTGTTTTTTTGTTTGTTTGTTTTTTGTTTTTTTAATAAATCATTTCAAAAACTACTAGCCCTTTTTTATATTACTGATATTTCCATTTAGGATTTTGATCATTAGTTGCATATAAAACAAACAGCATTTACTATCAAAAAAGACAATATTAGTCAAAAGACAAAGTCTTTTTAACATTTTTATCACTGTAACTGCAAGCATTTTTTAAAATAAAACACAGAAAACCTATCTTGCAATTACCACAAAATACTGAACTTATAAGGCAACATTTTCTCAGACAGCCTGCAAACATCTATTCATATTCTTTCAGATTCAGGAATTGCAACATTACCCAGGTTCTTATAGATTGACACAAAATTTGTATGGTAATTGTCACTGTCTCACAAATGTTCTGAACAAACAGGGTAATAGAAGGAACACAAACAGATACCAGGGAATGTACATCCAGGGTAGCCCCATCCCAGCTGCAGAATTCTGCACTTGTCTTTGTTAAACTTCACCTGGTTGGTAGTTGACCAGCCCTACTGTCGAGGTCTCTCTACCAGGCTTCTCTGCCTTTGAGGGAGCCAACAGCTTCTCCCAGTTTTGTATCATCTGCAGACTTACTTAGTATTCCTTCAAGGCCTGTGTCCAAGTCATTTATGAAGATGTTGAAGAGCACAGGGCTTAAGATGGAGCCCTGTGGGAGCCCCCCCCCAGTAGAAACAGGTCACCAGTCTGATGTTACCCCATTCACTATGATGTTTTGTGCCTGTCCCATGAGCCAGCTGCTCATCATATGATGTGCTTATCCAGCTGTGTGCTGGCCATTTTGTTGAGAAGGATACTGTGAGAGGTGGTATCAAAAGCTTTACTGAAATGTTGTATCTCCAGCGAACACAGCTGCAATCTTACAGTGTGTGTATAAGATTTACTTCTAATTTCCACAACCCACTTGAAACAATATTTTTTAGCATTAGGAGAAAATCATTACCTGATGAAACATAGAGTAATCTGTCCAATACAGGGATTACCAAACAAAATGAGGATTGAATCAGAGAGTTACACAGAACGGTTGTTTTTATCACCATGCTCAGCACTTTTTCTCAACAATTATAAATATTAAGAGCATCGGTACTTTTCATTTGTCCCAGAGCAGACTCCTACAGAACCAGCTCAGTGCTCTCCTAATTTTTCTTGATAACAATGACACAGATCTAGCCTTAAATCAGAAAAGTGAATGTTCTCTGCATATGGGGCCAGAACTGTACTTTCTAGGAAATGAATGACATTTTTATCTTGTTCTCGTAGACCTGCAAACACAGAATATCTTCACTGTAATACAGATATTCCTCATTATATAGCATTTTTCCATTTCCAAATAAAGAAATAACATATCAATCTGTCTGCTATCAATTGCATTCCCATCATTCTGACATCACAAATTCTATGATAAAGGGGAAAGCAGTCTAGAAGCAACGTGGAAAGTTGAAAAATGAAATACAGCCTCTATTTTGCATAATCACTGTCTGTATTTTTAAGTTTTAACCATAAGCCTAATCCAAACAAAAAGCTCCCTATAAACTTTAGCAGAGTGTAGTTCAAAACTTGACACTGCCTAATTGCTTTTTCTCTCTGTAGGAATTCTGTAGCTTAAAGCAGAGGTGTCCAAAGTAGGGAAAAAAAAATTAGAGCTTGAGTAGTTCATGTACACAACTGATAAAAGAATAAGTACACATATACTGGAAGGGTTGCACTCAAAACCCTTTTACTAATTGGGCTGCACAACCAAAAGAAGTTTGGAGACCACTCGCATATAGCACCACTAACGAAAAAAAATATGTTTCAATGCTTCAGTCCTTTAGGAGAGACAAAGAATGCTAAAGTATCTTTCTGATACTGGGTTTGGTTTATAAATTCCAATCCATCTGAGAAACAAGGGCAAGAAAGAAGAAAGGCAATTCAAGGTCTTAAAAGTGTTCCCAAGGGTAAACTTTTAGTCACACTGTGTTCAGTTCCCAACTATCAACAATTTTCACTGATTTCATAAACACCAGGTTTTCACAGAGATTTTTGACTGGAGAGTATTAAGATGTATGGGCATTTTCAGCAGGGTGAAGTTCTTACTGAGACTAAATACTGCAGTATAATAGAGCCTTTAATCTACTCAGAAAGCAAAATTTACAGTGCAAAACAATATGAAAGTATAGCAAGTGCTGAAATCAGATTTTCAACTATTTTATAGCACCATTCTCTACTGTTTCATGAGAAAATGGGGCTACTTTTGCAGTAAATTTTTGTTTGGAGACAAAAAAATATGTATCCAAAAGTTTAGTAAGCTGCCACTAGCTTTCATTCATTTAAATTAATTATCTACAGCTCAACACAAGCTAAAGGAAAATCTTTCCTGACAACTTAATCAAGGTTTATCAGGTCAGTTGCTTAACTTGGAAAGACATGCATTGACTTAAACCAACACTTTTTCATCCATTCATCCAAAAGGCCTTAGTAACATTCCAGAATGACAAAAAATGAGTGGGGATAGATTAGTTAGGAAATTAGTATCAGAGTTGCTGTAACTTTCAAATTTTTTTGTGTGTCATAGATTTCCTGTTTTCCCCTTTTACACTATCAGCATTTCTGATAATATAAATCTAGATTCAAATACAAACACAGGTCGTTCTCTATACTAAGAGCTGTTCCATCAAATAATAAAATAGTAAGATAAGATTTTGAAAAAAAAAATAGAAATCATCTTATGTCTCCATATGCCTGAATACCGTTCAGGGCAATAGGAATTCATATGGAAATGTATATGGCACCAAAGCATTTAGACACTTACTGCTGAGAGTTACCTCTGTTTACTAGAGGGGCACTCTGTATCACAGTGGTTTATCACAAGATAAACCCAAAAGACATGCTACAGTTAAAGCAGAAGTTATAAGCTTAATTTAAAAACCACTAATACAAGCTATTTATGCTGTGTTATGACAGTTCTGCATTACAATCAGGTTGCTGTTGCATGTTACTAGACTACAGAAGAAACAAAGTCACTAAGACACCATTAGGACATCTTTAAGCTACTCCACCTTATGTAAAATATCTTTCCTTCCTTTTTCTCCAACAGTGCTAAAAAATAAAAGTGTCCCTGATGGCTTAGACATGACCAGAAAAATTTTGATAAACAGTAAATATGAGAGGCTACATGGCTGTGGCCAAAACAACAACAACAAAGTTACTAAACAAAGGGTGCAGTGGCGAGACGAGAGGAATTAGATACTGGCAGTCTGCAACAACAGAATAGTTAACAAAATGGGAATCAAGGTGTGAAATTTAAAACAGAAATATGATGATATGAAATAAGAAACTACTGTATAGTAAAGGTTGGGTAACTAGAAATGAAATAAGAACTAAGGGGCATTTGAGAATGATTTCAAGAGAGAAATAATTGATACAACTGAAACCTTCAGTTATAGCAGACGAAAGTAAAGGGCATGAGCACATACATCAGATATCTTTTTCATTTCAAGCCTGACAGTACCATGCATTCAGGCTTACATAATTTAGGATGAGAAAGCTGCTCAAAATACAGAAATAGAACTCACAAGTCAAAATAACAACAGTGAAAGAAAGTCAATGTTTTCTATTTATTTGTCCTTGCAGGAAGAAATATACATTTACACAGAAATATACAAATTCCCACTAAACACTCAACAAACAGTGAATCATTTAAAAATAACTCAAGAGATACTATTTACAAAGAAATATTTAAGAGATCAGTAGGAAGAATACTTTCTTTAATATACTTACTTTCCTTGGGTTCATTGTAACATAAAGCAAACATTCCAGGCGCAGGGATTTTTTTTTTTGCCCCTCTGTAAGTGAAACTAATGTGCTAAAAGAGTCATTAATCATTTTGCTCCAAAAACTTCAGCTAGTTTAGTTCCTCTAGAGGGGTGGTCTGCATTCCCAAAATTATTGTCCTGATTCGAGGTTCTTTTAAACCCCAAACCATTTCAGTGAACGTTCAACTTCTGATGGCTCCCGACCACCAGCTGAAGGCTTCGCTCCTGCTGCTATGCTCGAGGTCCGAGGCACCTTGGCTGCTAACCCAGGTATGATACAAGACACGCACCCCCACCCCCGCCTTGGCAGGACGACGCTCCCAGATGGGCGCATCACAAATGCCACAGAGGAAGGGAGTGCAACTTGCACCTGAGCTGGGCCTCCAGTATTTAACAAGCAAACAAACAAACAAAAAACCCAAACAAACAAAAAAAAACCAAACCAACAAACAAACCCAAGAACAACACAACCCCACCTCGCCTTTTGAAAGCAATTTTAATTAAGCACCCACATGAGCCAGCAGACTTTGTCAGCACCAGCTGTGAGCACGCACAGCACCACGGGCCCGCACCCGTGTCTGCCGCTGCCATGGCCACACGGCCGCCACGCACTGGTGCGCACGGACGAAGCCGCCCGGTCCCGAGGAAGGGGAGCCTCGGGGGAAATTTTCCAGCCGGCCAAGAGGGCATCCCCCTGTTTTTTTTCCCGGCGCACCCCCAGTGCCCGGGCGGCCGGTGGGCGCAGCCCTCCTCCCGTGCCTTCCCTCCCTCCCTCTCGGGGCGCTCACCCTTTGGGGGAGTCGCTGCCATGACCGCCGGACTCCTTCTTTTTGCTCCCCTTGGAGGCCATGGCCACGGGCGCGGTCCCACCGCGTCCGCAGCGTTGCCCGGCGACCCCGCCGGCCCGAGGTGGCGTGTCCGGCGCCGCCCCCGGCCCTACCCCGGTGCCCCGCGGGAGGGCCCGGCCGCAGAGGCCCCGGTTGCCGCCCCGCGACCCAGAGAGCGGCCGAGCCCGTCCCCACTACGGGGCGGCGGGGGGAGCCCGGACGCGATCCTCGCCGCCCGCTCCACGTTCAAGGAGCCAAAACCAGCGTGCGAAGTGCCCTTGCGGACAAAGGTTTGGCTTCGAGCGTGACAGGCACCGCATTCTGGGCTTCCGCGGCAGCTTCAAGCCTCTTTCCAAAGAAAGTAATTTGTTTGCCGGTGGCACTAAATGAGGAGGAGCTGTCGGCTCCCTCGAAGGTAGGGAGGCCCTGCAGAGAGACCTCGACAAACTAGAGAGACGGGCAATCACCAACTGCGTGAAGTTTAAAAACAAGACAAGAACCGGATCCTGCACCTGGGACGGGGCCACCCCAGATGTAGGTACAGGCTGGGGAACGAGAGGCTGGAGAGCAGCCTGAGGAAAGGGATCTGAGCGTCCTGGTCTAGGGCAAGCTGAATGAGTCAGCAGTGCCCTGGCAGCCCAGAGAAATTTTAGAGCTAGATTGTGCAAGTTTTTGTTTTATTTCCAAATGATGCAACTAATTAATTCCTGATATGATTACCAAAGTGAATGGAATTCCACCAAGGTCAGGTAAAACTAACATTAATCTGCTGGTTTTGAATTCAGCAGATAGTTAACTTCAACTTCGGTTATACAAAGACTCTTTCAGATACATGCCCAAGATTACATTCTTACCAACAGCTCCTATTTATCTTAACCTACTTGCTGTTTCTCAGGCTGTAGTGAACGATGAAAAATTCTTGATAAAACTGAACATACTTTTTTATTCAATTTAAGTCTTTCTGAAATACATTTATATTTTTTAAAAATGAATATCTATTTGTCAAATTTCAGAGAGCATGAGTAGATAAAAAATAAGGGAAAAATACGCAGTTGTTGCTACATCTAGAGGCTTGTTTTAGATAAATGTCAGATCTTGATTTATATGAAGATGACAGGTAGCCAGATATATACTCATAAATTTTAAAGTGGAGAATTCTTCCACAGCTTAGCATTTCCTTCAGCATTATGTCCAGCAGCATCCATTCTAAATAAGGTACTTTGGGACACGTTTCACTTGGGAGCTAAATAAACATTTCAAGTTTATTTATTTCTCTTAAAACTGAACAGTTGGTCTTTTCTTCATACAATTATGCTATCAAATATTTATTAGGGCATACTGATTAAAAAAACAAACTAAAACCCAAACACAAACAAACACACAAAGACAGAGGCGAGTTCAAACATTTGGCTACCTCTTCAATACCAGCCCAATGTTGTTAACCTCCACACCATGCTGGATGCTGATGCCAAGTTGTAGACTGGGCTGGAATTTATAGGACTGCACTTGTGATGCAGACTGTAGGTAAAAACATCTCAGATAATCTGTGATTTTCATGTATTCCCCTAAATCCCCTTTTCTTTCCTGTACTTACTGGGCAGAGAAAATACTATAGAAAAGTATCTATAAAACATTGGTGTAAGAGGCTACAAGTACTAGTTGGAGAGAGCAGAAAGAGAGTAATAACTACCAAAACCACTCTCAGGGGTCTTGCAGCCCAGACTTAACTATCCTCTGATTTTACAGAAGGCACAAGAATTTCGGAACAAGACAGGAAAATGTTTTTGCCTTAAGAGAAGGCCTGGGAGTGTGGTAGGGTGGCAAATGTTAATTAGAAATAGCTGAAGAGTAGGCTGAAGACAATCAGATTCTTCTCAGAGGTGCCAAGTGACAGGATTAGAATCAATATGAAAACTTAAATACAGGAAATTCCCATAGGACTACGTGATCTTCCAAGGCTACTTCCAACATTACCCATTCTGTGATTCTGAGTTTTCCGTGAAAAAAAGGGTTAAGGTCAAAAATCAAACAGAGGCTTCTGTAAGAACAGATGTTGCATCTTCAAGCATGAGGTTGCAACTAAATTAAGAGATGAAAGGGAAATAAAATGGCTTTTGATTTTCTTTTTGTGTTTTGGAGACTTTTCCCCCCCCACATTTCTTTTCTCAAATGAGAGGAAGATTTAGGTTCTGGAATTAATTCATTTAAAAGATCAAAAAAAGGGCACTCTTACTTCTACTACTCAGTGGGGAAACTGAACAGGGGAAGATAGCAGTGCATTGGCATTTCAGGAACAGCAGGCAGTAAAGGATCAGAATAAAAACTGACGGGTGATCCAAAAAAAGGGGCAATTGTGAGTGGAGAGTGGCAATGCCTGAGAAAATAAAAACTTTGTAGTGATAGAACTTGGGAGGAGCAGTCTGTGCACAATTAGGAACAGTCACATACTGAGGTGACATAGGCCAAGGAACTGAATTTGAGCAAAACCATCCTCAAACAGATGGACTGAAATATTCACAAGCAGCTGAATTCTGTTAACTCTTAAGTAAGCCCGAGGTTAGGGAGAAAAATGGGGAAAGGTATTATGAGAGATTTTTTTTGGATAAACTAATGGAATATGACAAGGTATAGGGGAAGAAAATTGCAGCCAGCTGCATAACAGAAGATAGTCTTTGCCTAAGCACAAGGCTTTCTGCCTGCTGCCATTTCAAAAATATCTTATGGTACCATGTCTCATCTGATCTTGTCAGTGACACGGTTTTTCTAGCATTCCAGCCTCCCCTGAATTTGACATGGTGCTAGAAAGGACTCTGATGAACCCAGCTGTTACTGTCTCCATTTATCTTTTTTTTTAAATCATTCTCATGCTAGCCTCATTTTGGAGAAACAAAGAACCAAAATATTCAGTAAAATATCAAGCAGCTATCCAAGTCCAATGTAAATATCACAATACCATCAGGTCCCATGAGACTGCTCAGGGCACATAACTTTAGGCTGAAGTGTTCCAAGAATTTGGGACCACCACAATTTTGATCCTCTCTCCACTTGAATATTGGATAGAACGTAGTGTAGGCCCCAAGAGCAAGCAGCAGAGGAAAATTCAAGTAGCTCAGAGAAGCATGCAGAGCCATTGCCTTTCTTTCATTAATTTTATGTTTAATGATTCATAACAGGAATATCTTTATATGTCAAAATGAAAGGCTTTCTGGGTTTGATAATGCATGAAAACCCTACCTGAAGTTTGGAGGTAAAGGCAACTGTGGCAATTGGAACTGTTACAAAACGTAAATACAGACAGAATAAGTACTATTCTAAATATTTGGTGAAAAGATACAATGAAATTGTGACTGTTGCCTGAGGGATAGAAGACAGTTTCAGGTTTTAAAATGAAAATACACAATGTTAATGTAGTGCAACCTTTTTGCTGTAGAATCTATTAAATCCCCTAGTACACAGTTTTACTTCAGTATTTTGTTTTTTACAATTAAGAATGTAACCTTTTTACAGGAAATTTAAAAAGTTGTTGTTCTAAAGTAAAGGCATGCTGCAGGTCACAAATATCCTTTCTGACAGTGATTAACTTCAGTGCACTTACAGGCTAAACACAAAAAGTTGTACTATTATAAAAATGCAAAATATATGATTGCTAGATACATATTTTTTAAAATGTGATTAACATTCTTCAGAAAAAGTCAAGAACAAGACCATAAACTGATATGTCTGCAAGATATATTCAAACTTGTTTACCAAATCTAACATGTAAAAATACACTATCTTCTAAAACAAACAAACAAACAAAAAACCACACTACAATGCAGTTTACATTCTCTAACTTCTGAAACACAAAAGTTACAGAAGTTATTGCAACACTTATGCCATCACACATATAAACAATTTCCACTATTGGTATTTGAACTACAGTAAGTCTCACCTAATTCTGCCTAAAACCATAACCCAATGAAAAATGGCATCCCCCTGGACCATCTGACAAAGTCCTTGCTCCCTAAACTACTAAATACTGGAAGGCAGTGATTGTGGGGTATCTTGAGGCAAAGTACAGTTGAAAACAGTAATACTCTAAGTGTCAAGCAAAGTAGTTTGCCTTTGTGGTAGGTTGACTCAAACTGGATACCAGGTATCCACCAAAGCCACTCTATCACTCCCCTCCTCAGCTTGACAGAGGAGAGAAAATATAATGAAAGGCTCATGTTACAAGATACAGACACACATCAGTCACCACTTTCTGTCATGGAAACAGACTTGGCTTGAAGAAATTAGTTTATTACCGATCAAATCAGAGTAGGATAATGAGAAATACAAACCAAATCTTACAGACACCTTCCCCCACCCCTCCGTTCTTCTTCAGCTTAACTTTACTCACAATTTTCTCTGCCTCCTCCACCCAGTGGCACACAGAGGTGGGGAATGCAGGTTGCAGTCACTTTATCACACATTGTCTGTGCTGCTCCTTCCTTCTCACAGGAAGAACTCCTCACATTTCCCCCACTCCAGCATGAGGCCCCTCTCACGAGAGACAGTCCTCTACAAACTTCTTCACTGTGAATTCTCCCCACAGGCTTCATAAACTGCTCCAGTGTAGGTCCCTTTCATGGGGTGCAGTCCTTCAGGAACAGACAGCTCCAGTGTGGGTTCCCCACAGGGTCCCAAGTCCTGTGAGAAAACTTGCTTCAGCGTGGGCTCCTACTCTCATGGGTAGACTTTTGCTACATCTATGGTGGGATAGTACTGTCAATTAAAATTCACTCATTATTACCAAAGATGCTTGGACATATTATGAACAATAGAAATGGATAATGTGGCCCAAATACTACACTACTTCAATACCACAGTCTGCAGGACACTTTTAATGCAAAAAAAAAAAAAATTAAAAAAATAAACCCATCTGAATGCAAGAGACTGAAAGTCCATTATTCTGGATGGATACCACGTACTGTTTTGATACATACCAGTAGAGGGCAGGGGGGTTTAGAAACAGAGTTAACAGGCTGTCCATGCTATCTACAACCTTTAGGAAGCCAAGAGCTTTCCAACAGACCAATAATTATTAGCATAAGTTAAGCTTTCAGAAGGGTTATGATAATACACAGGTTAAAAGTTCAAGTAAAAAAGAGGAAAAAGTAAGACCAGAAGCCTGTATGTTTTATCAAAAGGCTGAACAATTTGTTTCATTAAGTAGAACCTGCAAAAGACAAATAGAGTCCCTTCATGTTAATATGCCACATGAAACATAGCAGCTACCTTTTGCTCCCAGTTACATGGGGCAATAAGGCCAGAAATCTTGCATATTTTAGTTTCATTTAGAGTTCAGGCCAAATGACAATTTACCCAGTGATAAAGAGAATGAGTGTGGTGGCCTCATGTATCTTTGCAAAAGAATGAAAGAACCAAGAGATGTTGGCCCTCTACTTGTACACTTACTGAGCCAAAGCTACCCAAAGTGCTATCTCTACCTAAAAAAACGAATTTTGTTAGTGTACTTGGGTCAGAAGGAATTTTGTATTTGCACAGATCAAAACAATAAAATAACCATTTAGTAAAATTTATTCATATGAGTATGAAAGCCATGTAGGAAGTCTAAGCAACAAGTTTTCACTGACTGAATGCTATATTAGGTGGTGATAAAAAAGAGGCCATAATCACGTATTTAAAAATACACCAAATACTTTTCCTGTTTACACAAACTGAAGCAGCGAAATGAGCTACAAAAAGAGCATCATGATGACCATGTACAATACAGGCACAAATAATCTTCACTATATAGGTAGATCTGAATCTAGTATATTCGTTATATTCAACATTATTTTGCTAAGGACAACGAACTCTGAAGTGACCTTCTGCATACTGTCAAGTGAATGATGTATTTCCATTCAGAATCATTATCATCTCTCGAGAATTTTGTTAATATAATTTTTATTCCTGACATACTGCTAACCCCATTTCTTCAATCCTCTAGCAGTTCATCATATGAAGGATGAAGGCATAAACACACTTAGAGAACTGTGTTACTATAGCAAAGGAGGTGTTCTGTTTACAATCAAGGTCAGTAGCAAGACATTAAGACTAAGATAAGGAATCAACAGTTTAAGAGCCAAGTGTTCCACGATTCAATACCATGGTTTTACTGCACATACTTCTTCTCTAATATTTCCTTTTATCACCATATATCAAATGGTTACTCAGGCATTGTGTCTCTAAGAATGACTTAAACTATTCCCCATTCATGCAGAGGTTTAGAAGTTACATACAGAATAAGTAAAGTGCTTTAATATAGCAGCAAAAACACATCAAGCAGAAATTTTGGCAGACATTCTTGAAACTAACCTGCATAGGATTACATTGTTACTCATAGGACCCAGCTGAGATTCCTGGCATTCAGGTACAGTCCCAAGGCTTCAGAGTTTGGTCTCCATTCTGCTACTGAATCTAAACACTAAACCCAAGAAAAAGCTGTTTGGGGAACAAAAAATCTAATTCCACCAGCTGTTTCCCCAGTAAAGTAGGCATTTACATTTGTGCAGCTTTAATTAAAGTTTAGAAAAAGACAGTACATAGGAGATTAGACACCTAATCAAGAGTGAGTTTACAGTCTAAATGGAGTTGTCCAAGTGATTGAATAGGAAGATTATGGTAGTTTCAGGTTAGCAAGAAAGGTTAACAACTCAGACAAACCAGCAGGCAAGGAACATGAATGGGATGCAACTTCCTCTCTGAAGTGCTACAGGCTTTCAAAGGAAAAAAATACCAATCAAGCTTTATGTGTCCAATAAGTCTGCACAAATCTAAAGGACACATTCTTTACAATGGTGTACAGTAGAAAGATAGGAGACCATGGACATAAATGAAAGTTACAAAGGTTCACACTAGTTAAATGCTCAGGGGACAGTCAGGCATTGAATAATTTTGCCAGGGCCATATATTCTGCATTTTTTAAAGTTTAAGACCAGACCCCGTGAACACCTAAGCACACTGCTATGATTTTGCTTGGAGAAAGATGTTGGCTTAGAAGGCGTTCTAAGAAACCTTTTATCGGAATTACCTTAGGATCTTTAGCTAATTAAACTCAGTTTTAGCTTATGCCAAGCCTTACTGTGGCAATTTCAAATAAACCTTTAACATAGCAGGTACTAGAAGATGAAGTTGTTTTCAAATGTCAGTGAAAGCATTTGAGTATAGTGTGGAACATATGTGAAAATTCATGTTCTCAAAAGCACACACCAACAACATACATAAGATGCCCCAAAATATTTATTTATTTATCTCTTAAAAATTACATTACTCTTTAGAAAACAAGCCTAAGAAATCTCAGTACAGATTAAAGTATATCAAATCCTGCACATACTTAATTCTGATGTTTAAGTAAACATCAGCACCATCAAACCAAGCAAGATAAGACTTCCAAATTCAGTAGCAATGAGTTATGGGACAGAAGAAACCCTTAATACAAAGAGGAGCTTCAAAGCCTTTGAGCCAGGCAGAGCCAGAGTTCCAGAATGCATTCGAGAACCATGAAATCTCTCTAACCCTTTTGATCTTCATTTGCTGCCAAAAATGCATATGAGTGTTATAAGAAACAAGCATCTCAGTATACAGTTACAAACAGGTAAGCCAGTTCATCAGTTCAAAGTAGGCAAAAGAGCACAGCACTGTTCTAAAACTGAACGAGATAGAGCTTGGGGCAAGGGGGTTGACAGACTAGCATGAACCAGTTAAGCTATTTCCTTCAAGACCTCTCTCTTTCCTCATGGTATTCAGAACCATCTCAAGACAGAAGAAAAAAGAAGGAAGTTCATTATCACAGGACAGTAAGGTAAGTACTTTTTGCACTCTTGGTAAAGCTTTCAGTGTTAGTGCATGAAAAAGTCACTGAATGTTTATTTCTGGGTTTGCATACAGGTGAGGTTACCATAACTATGTGCCAGCAGTACAATTGTATTATTAATGTGTTTCATATGTAAAGTATTAGCTGAAAATATTCTGCCTTAAATGGCTGGAGATGCATTTTTGTTATTATCTCTATAACCATGTCTTTCCCTTGTTAAATACAATAATTTAACCATATTGGTTTAACTCAGTGGTAAAAGCCATCTATTCCACTCAGTCCTAGTGATCACACTAGGAAAGATACCTCCCATCTGTCATTGGCCCCCTTCAAGATTTCTGGGATGTTTTGGTCCAGGACAACTAGCAATGAGACAGACCCTCATGGTGGGGGATAATAAATAGGGACAATTGTGCAGGTGAGAAGGCTAAAGTGAGACATCATTGGTGACAAAGGAAAAGTTTACTTTAAAGGTGCAAGTGTCTATTCAGCTAAAACCTTGACAAGTGAGTCCTATTTGGAATGTAGCATATGTCATAGAAGCAAACAAGACGCTGAATGTTGTCTTTGTTCCTTTTTAGGAGTGTAAACACTACCTTATGTTCTCAAGTAAGAAGACACTAATCAGACTTAGATGCAGTCATTTAAGCAAGTGGAATGATAACTCACAAGATACAGTTTCATGCTAAACGAAAATATGTAAACACCCAAACGAGTCACCAATGCAGATAGTACCAGACACCCCATATGGATTGTCACAATGCAGCACCATAGCAGCATTTTGATTTAAGGAACAGTCTTGCTGCTCATCCCATCACATTTACTTAACAGTGGTAGCATTAGCAGCACTGTGATTTACTCTCTGCTTTCAATGGGTCTATGTCCAGTTTTGGTTTCCCCACATCATTCTCTTCATTAGGGAAGGTTTTGTAGTTGGCAAGGATGTTTTCCACCAAGAATCGAGCAGCTTCGTCTATGTTGATGTTGTCCTAAAAAATGTTAAGAGGAAAGAAGTCAGTGATTTTCTTGAAATAGTCACACATTCCTATTAAAAAGCTGTCCAAAAAGAATAACTTTTATTCAGTCTCATCAGCATGACACAAACAGTTTAGATGCATCAGGTCATTGCTCACATATTTTTTTTTTTTGAAAAAAGTTACCAGAAAGGTTTGAGACAAAACTATTCACCCATATTACAAATTGAATACTGTGGCTCTAGTTTAGTAGACAGTCAGGGATATAAACATCACCTGAATTTGGAAGACTCACAAATGCCAAAGTGCTTTTCTGCATCAGGAAAAATCACAGGTAATTACACTGCACTGTCCATAGACTTGTAAGGCCTTTTGGGACCTTACAAAAACAAATCACAGCTATTTTCAAGTGCTTCATCTACCCACTCTACATATTCTTGTGCATGCTTTGAAAAATACCTTCACATACACTCTAAAGAAGGTCTGTATGCAGAATACCTAGTGATGTGCTTTGTCAAGATACTGAGTAACACTACTGAGTAACTTTCCCAGTCACTGAGGGTCTAAGGTGGCCCTAATACCACAGGGTCTTTGGCCACAGGTTTGACCTTGCTGGGCCACTTGTTACTTAACCACAGGGCTGCCATGTTTGGAACTGCTCATCTTTGGTTCTGAAGAAAATAACAGCCCAGTACACTCTTCTGTCTCTCTGATTGTAGATCTAAACTCTACATGAGCAAGGTTAGATTGTAAGAATGTTTGACCCATCACTACTGAACTTTACAAGCTCGTGATCATCAGCCACAAACTGATTTTGGCAGTTTACAGATAGGCACTTTTCCCTGCCCAGAGCAGAGAAGAATTCTCTTCATTTTAGTGTAAGGATGTCCATAAGATATTTCTATGAATACTTATACTGTCTGCAGTTCTTTCACTTTTAATATTCTTCCAACAGAGAGTGGGACCTATATTACTGAAGACTAGACTGAAGATTCAAGTATTAGTTACAGCAAAATGGCAAAAGCAAATTAACAAGGTATTCAAGTGAGCAGGACTTGAAACCAAAAACTGATTTGGCATACTCAGAAAACAAGAAAGCTATTCTGCATTTTTGCTAAGCTCTTTTAACTACACCTCTTCAGAGTCCTAAAGTCAATTCATAACTGAGCTACAACTGTCATTGTCTCAATTTTTCTCTGCGCCAAGAACCTTGTTTTATATCATCATGTCTTAAATGCCACCTAAAATGCAAGCTATCACAACACTTTCACATTAGGTTTTGTTCCAATGTTACTTGCATTTATTTTCACCCCATAATGAAGCTTATAAATAGCAGTGTTATGGACAGATAAAGCTTCAGAGAAGATGCAACCCCAAGCAGAACCTCAGTATTCTTTTTGAGTATAGAGAACCTTAAAAAATGAATTTTTAGTGACAGATGAGTGAGTTTTGCAAATATTTGTTCCAATGCAAACAGATTCTTAGCTAATTTAACTGATTCATTTCACTGTGTATCCTTCCTTATTTCAAAGTGATCAAGAAGCAATTTTTACTTTGTTTCCGATATTCTTCTAACAGACTTTTCTTTTAAAGAGTTGTTGAAGCATCATTGTGTGACAGTTCAGCAGCAGCAGCTATAGAAAGTAGGCAAGCCAAGGGAAAAGTGGGACCTTGAGGCTTGGCTTACTTTATAAAAGAGTTACCAGCCAGATCAGTAATCTGGTCTGTCAGCCACACTGTCTTGATCTAGAGCAATCTTTCATTTTAAGGATCAGTTGAGCTTTAAGGAAATGCTGGATTTCATTTCCAACTAAGTTTATCTCTGCATTGATAAAGTCTGTAGACTACAACTGTACAGTATATGAAATGCCTCAAAGTTAACTGTTTGAATCAAGCAGCTTTCTTTCTTAAATTACTATACAGAACAATTTGTTTTGCATCCAGTTCAGTCTTGATGTTGCCTGATAAAATAAAGTGCTTCAGCAACATTGTGGGTATGTAGTAATAAGTGAGCAAATGGTTTGTTCAGTTCAGGTCTTGCCATTTCCTACAGAAAACAGTCAAGACAGAAGTTATAATTTAAAAACCTGCACCTAAAGATTTCCTGTATCTTTTAGATAGTTTGATCAGCATTTAGTAGTGTTAACATCTAAAGAATGACTCTGATCCTCATGCATGCAAGATGAAAAAACATATCAAACTCATAATCAAGATTTCCAGACAATTTTAAGCACCTCCGAATTAAGGATGCAGTTCTAATCTAAACCAAATACGCCTCATCTTCCTCAGGAGTGAAGCTAGCCTGCACACCACTTCAAAATTTGCTGAACACTGGAGATTTGACTGTCATTTCCTATACATGATAATTTTATTTCCTACATGATTATATTCATCCATTCTTATATCAATACTCAAGAGACTGAAAACGTGTTTCTATTATGCTCACCTTGGCAGATGTTTCAAACCATCCAACAAAGCCACCTTCTCTGCAGAACTGGTCCATCTGAGAGGGATTCTGGCTGCCATCTTTCTTCTGGTCACACTTGTTTGCAAGAAGAACAGCAGGGATGGGGCTGCCATTGGGAAGTAGTACTTTACTGTCCAAATCATGCTTCCATTTTGAAACAGCCTCAAAAGTGGAGCCTCTTGTGACATCAAAGACCACAAAAGCACCAACTGCCTCTTTGTAGTATACTCTGGTCATATTTCCAAAGCGCTCCTGGCCTGAAAGAGAAGAAAGTGACCAAGTATATTTATATTGAAGCATGAACTGTATTTAATGTAAATGGACTACTGTACCAGCTTAGTTCATAAGTTTGGCATTCAAGTCTAGTCACCCAGCTCATAAAACATTGCCTCTTTTATCCTATGTAAGCTCATTGTAACAGCCATTATATATATATATATTACACCTGACAAGTCAGGTGCTAAGGTAGTTTGCAACCCCAACTACCACTCTGAATTTTTTTAAACTTATTTGTTGAATAGTGTTTTTTGAGAAGTAATGACTAAAAACACTACCAACAGTTACACACAAATCATTCTTTTATCAAAAAATAAAGGTTTATATCCAAATCTAGTTATTTCAGCTACAGATTTAAACAAACTCAGGCTTTTGCTGAAGGGTGAGCAAAAGGAGTTTCTGCAAGCTTCAAGGCTAACAGCCTTCAAAGCATCTTCTGAAGAAGTCACCTATATTATAGATTTTTCCTTAGGGACAAGTTCAAAAGGAGCTAGCTTAGCAGTTCTAGCTAAATCTGTTACCTTCGACTTCATCTTTTAAACCTAAGATTTTCTCTGGATCATTTTCCAACTATAGAAGTTCTACTGCAATCCCAGGATTTCAAACAAGATCACTGGAATAGTTAAAGTACGATTATTCACAACAAAAATCCAGAAAAAAACCAACCAAACAAACAATTGTCAGTGAGTAGGGTAAACTAAAAAAAGCCTTTTCTTATTAAGTACAACTATTATAGTCAGTATCCTTGAACTGTAGAATTACAGTGTGCCAGTTCAGTTATTCTTGTTTGGACAAGAATATGTGTTTTTATATTTGATTGTATATAGCACTGTAAAGTCCCAGCACGTTCTTTGGGAAGTCTGGGCTAGTAAAATGGCTTCCTGCTTTGTTTGGAGGACTTCACTGGGAAAAGCAGTCCCTGCACTTTACGATGTAGTTTTACAGTATATCATGACTTCAGTTTTTATCACTTACTGGATATGAGGTTTTACAATACATAGAGAAAGTAGGAATTGTATTTGGAAATCTAGTTGTCCTCTGCTTATAAACATTCAAGTCCACCTTTGATTAGCAAGGGCAAACAGATACAAGGAGAACAGAGCATTATCGTCTCATAAGAAGCCAGAAATTCAATAGGTGAAGGAACTTCACAAGGGGTCCTGTTCAGCAGCATGCTTTCCTAGCTCAATTGTCTCATTCATTTTAGTGTCAGTACTTCAGTGTATGATTAGCTCATTCCCTACAGACGTTTTCTGGAAAGGTTGCCTAAGCAGCTGTTAGAATTGCCTGAAAGCAGCAGCAGCTGCAGTAAATTTCCAGAGAACTATGAAAAAGCTGACTTGTTTTCTGGCTGTTCCCTTTAAAGAATGATGTTGCACAAAACAGCATCAGTAGCCAGCATATTCTTCAGAATGGAAATGACACATGAACTTCTTTACTACCAGTTAATTATCCCATATGAGAACAAGCAGCATCCAAGAGGAAAGTTCTTATCTCCATATTCAAAGCTTAAGTTTTGAAGCAGAATTTATGCCAGGGACTTTAAGGCCAGGCACCAAGACTGCATCTCTGAGACTATGCCACTGGAAATGCTACATTGATAATACAAGTCTCCTACAGAGTGTACACATTGTGTCCCTAGGTCTTTCCAGGCTGGACTCTTCTGCCTAAAAGGCATTTTTAGTATAGCCTTACTACAAATTAGGAAAGAGTTAGACCAGAAGGTTTTTACTACTTGTGCAGGTCAATCGTGTCACTTCCAAAGAAGCTTTACCTTTCAATTGTGGGGATTTTTTTTTTTTTTGTTTTGTTTTGGTTTTTTTCTTTAATGGAGTTCTACACTCAAATTTAGTTATATTAAGCCAGTCACTGCATAGGGTACCACACAAGCTATGAGGAGCTCCTCCTAAGCTTCCCCTTTGTTTAGCTGTCAGTCTAACCACCAATTCCTGCCATATGGGAACACCTCAGACCACGCTAAAGTGCTTGAGTCCTGTGTCCAATTCAGGCAGTATATCTCTTCACATCATAGGACAGGCCCACAAAACAAACAAGTGTAATCTCAAGGTCTACAATGCTCTCTATACCTCAGTCTTCTACAGAAAGAGTTCTTCAGTTCATCCCTGAAATAGTGCAGAAATAAACACCACTTGCTGTTATTTACATGAGACTGAACATGAATCTGAAGCAGCAAGTGAAACAGTCCCATTAGTCCTCCCTACTGGAAAGCTGGGGGGCTTTTAGTCTTTAATTAAGGCTGTTTTTCCAAAAACTTGCTGAACATTAACATAAGAAAATTAAGTTTTATTGATTACTTGTAGAAAGGGTTGTTAGATTGTTACTAGCAAGGAGTAGACACAGCATACTCACTACATATGAAAACTAAGTTATTTAGGAATTGCAGAAAGAGTTATCAGGAAGTTACCATTTCTCAGATAGCTGAGCATGCTGTGGGTGAGCATGGCTGCAATCAGTAACCACAGTGAAGGACATTACCATTGACTGAATCCCTTCCAGCCTAGTGCCCTCATATCCAAAAAAAGCCTTAAGAAACACAGCTAGCAAGGCAACCATACTAGCCTCCTGTAGCAATAACCCTTCCTGAAACATGCACAATATTGCATTTAAGGTGTAAAAAAAGAGGTCAAATTAGTACAGCATCACATATAAACTTCCAAAGAAAAGAAACTGAGTTACAAAGTATAGCTCATAACCAAACTTGACAAGTCCTAACCACTAACAAATTTTCCTACAGAAATATCAGGGAACCTAGCCCTTGCCAGAAACTCTGATCATCACTCATGTAAGTTTTTTTCATTACATTTCCAAGAAAGTCCCAACATTTTACCATAGTCTATCTTCCCTACCAACCTGGTCCAGTGCCTTTACACACAACGTGCTGGAGAGCTGCACTAGCCAAGGTTGCCTGCCAGATGGTTCTTTGACACTGGTGACTTTCATGTCCCAGTATCTTCCAGCCTATGTGAAGATTCAACACCCTACAATTGTCAGCCAGATATGCTGTACCAGAGAGGCAAAAACCAGGTTGCAGCAGAACTACCAATTCAGACCAGCTGAATCCCATCATGGCCTCACCAGGAAAGGCCACTGTAAATGGGGCTGTGCTGCTAACTTGAAAACTCAAGAATTCTAGAATAATGCAGGTGCCTTGTACAAGGTTAGCCTTGTACAGTGGTTTTTCTCAATGTGTAAGACAGCAGTTCTGGTAGAAATGCAAGCCTGTGTGGATGTTACCTTGTACTCTACAGCAGCCACTTCAGAGACCATGGGCTTCAGCTACATGGAACAATCATTACGTCTTATTTCCAGCAGGCTTTATTGATAGAAGTTAAAACTCTCTTATAGTAACTCTCATAGTTTTAGATTTGGAAAAAACATTAATACATATTTTTTCCACATTTTGATTTGGTTGAAAGTAGAAAACTTATGTGCATTATCAGCATGAAAGTTTCTAACTTTACTTATAAGATTTAAGCTTTACATTAGAAGGATTTGATAGCTCCCTTAAACACACACAAGCTCAATATCATTGTATTTTTAGACATAAATGCCTTTTAATGGGTGAAATACAGCCCAGTATGAGTGCTGTCTTTTCTAAAGTAACCCAAACTCCAAACCAGTTTATTACAGAGCTGTTTTCACCTCTAAAATTCATCCACTAACAAGAAATCTGACCTAAATACTAGCTTATGACTGCTTTTCCATCCTGTCTGGAGGCCTAATGAGGATGCATATACCCTATTTCATAGAAAGAAGACAGAAACAAGAGATAAGAGTTTTGTTTGGTAAAAGGTATATGGCATGAGGCAAGAAGAGGATTCCATTTAAACTAAGTAGAATTTCTTTACAATCCTGTCACTACTGATAATGCACACACTAAGCTTCTTGTAGGGGAATGAAGAGCATTTAAGACTGCCTTTTGAAAATTTAACAGGACTTTCAGACAGAGCTTTTGCAACTGCTTTTCTGCTTGCAAAAAATAAAAAAAAAAAGAAACCTCATACAGGAAAAAGCAAATTGTAGAACACGCTACTCCTCCAAAGTCTCAAGTCTGATCCTCCTTCTCTTTGTTCTTAAATGCCTCAATTTTTGCCATGCACAGTTCAGAGATTTGCCATGTTCCTTCCTATGTTCAGTAGATGTTTGCTGTACTCATGTCATCATGTGTGACAATAGTCTTGAGCAATGCAGAAAGTGGATCATACCCCCAGAGGAAAAAAAGGCTAAAAGTGATCAGATTAAACTAGACTTAAAATCTCAAGTGTGTATAAACTCGGAAAGAAGAGGGCAGGAAGAAAACTCCTTGCTTACTACAACAGTATAGAAAGGACATCACAAGACTAACTATTCTGATAGATCTACTGCCTTGACATAAACCTGACAGTACCACAAAGATATACTTTGTGTTTTAAGGATTCAGGTATAAGTGAGGAGCTAAGCTACAGGACAGTCACAGGGATCAGAGGGTTTATTCAAAGGTGGGGAAGTGACTGCATGCAACGCAAAGTTCTGCATTCTCAGCCACAATGTTTTCACATCTAAATGACTCTGCATATATTGTCACCATATTGTCCAGTAATTGCAACAACCTTAAGTGAAATACTTGCACAATGGCATACATCAGGAACTAATACAGTTGCCTACAGCAACACTACAGGAATCGAGTTTAGAACTGTATCAGAATTTGGGAGCTATTCTCACTCTCTAGTTTACATTGTAATAGGGGGGTGAACTGTAAGTTAAAAACCACATGAAAAAAATATGGCCAGGTTTGAAGCTTTATCTTTGTTCCTTACTTCACGGCAGAAGATAAGTTGACATTGTAAAAGTCAAAGAGTGCCAACCTTGCCTTGAAGTACATTTTAAAGAGTTTCTACAGCAATCTTTCCAAGTGTAAGGGAGAAACAATAGTGTCCTCTTTATTACAAGAGTGTGGCTTACTGTGGCAGTTCTTTTCTAT